TGTACCCTTTTCAATTCATTTCGGATATATCAAAAACTAAATCCTCTGTCAAAATGCCGATATAAAGAATTCTTGCTAGAAGTGGCGAAAGACTGGGCAACAGATAAGATAGAGGGGGGGGGGGGATCTGAGTCAGACAGAGACAGTGCGTCCAGGAACTTCAACTCGTACCCCACGTAGGCCCCATAAGGAACCCCCTGGAAGACTTTCGGGAAATATGAGGAAACATGTACTCGAAAAAATTGTTGGTAGTGTACAAGGGAAAAGAAAATACCCTGCTAGGGAAAAGAAAATACCCTGCTAGGAGGTGCCATGTTTGCGCTACTCATAAGAAAAGGAGTGAAACACGGTACTTTTGCAAATTTTGGGTGCCCCTCCACAAAGGGGAATGTTTTCAAAGATATCACACCCGCAAGCAATACTAGGATCCTTGGTGAGTATTCTCTAAAATTTGAATTCATTAAATTAATTAGAAGATTTTTTATGAATTTTTGAAGTGAATGGTGCAGCAGTACGGTTAAAAGGGAAAAATCTCCGGGAACCGGGGATTTAAACAATTTAAATACCACGTCCTTAATGTGTTAAGCAAACAGAGTGCGGAACACCGCTAGGATCCAGCGAGTAGTTAGAACAACAAGCGTCTGGGGTAAGGGGTGGCTGCCATCAGTCCCACGGATAAGTCTAGGCAGCGACTCGCACGAAACGCACAACCTTTCCCCACCTTACCCACATTACCAAAATCCTATCCTTCCATTTCCTTTCTCGCACTAAATATGTAAATACCATAGACATCTCAATCCCCAAAATTGGTGACCACCGAATGTGATTAGTGTTTAGTGCAGTAAACGATTCAAAGAAAAAAGACTCAAAATGGCGACGAGGAGTGCAACACGCGTCACCGACACGGAACACGTGAGACAACCGCAATGTTTCCGTGCGCCGTTATTTTGGTCAGACAAACCTGACCTATGGTTTAAGCAACTGGACATACACTTCGAAGCAAACGAGGTGAAATCAGACCATGCAAAATTTAGTTTCACGCTCGCGCACATAGACGCTTCGAACGCGGGCGAGATCGCCGATATAATCAGCAATCCGGTTGAAAAAGATCGAAACACTGAGGATGGAAATGGTCCGCCGCCTCAGCGCGACGCGTAGCAACCAGTTGCAACGACTGTTCGAGCAAGAGGAAATGGGTGACCGTCGCAGTTCCTCCGCCACATGACGACATTGGCAGGTGAAGCCGCGATAGACAAGTTCCTGAAGACTATGTGGCTAAATAGATTGCCACCGGCAGTCCGGACGGTCACGAGCGCGTTGAACGTCCCATTGGAACAAGTAGCAGTTGCGGCAGACAGAATTCATGACACAATACCGAAAACCGCGGAACCGAACACCATATGAACTCAAGAGAACGTACTCCAGGTCGCGAGCACCACCAGACACTCCGAGACGGATGAGCTACGTCAAGGACTGAACGATCTCCGAAAGGAAGATCAAGATCAATATCAAAAAGCCGGCAACGAAGGAGATCGAAATCACCAGCATCGAGAGACCACTGCTGGTACCATCAGACCTTCGGAGACCGATTCACGAAATGTCGGTCGCTGTGCAAATTCCAGTCGGGAAATGGGGAGTCCCGACACTAGAAACGGCTAACAGTGACGGGACAAAGACAAGCCACCTCTTTGTCACCGATCTCGTGACAAAAATGGTGTTCCTAGTCGACACCGGTTCGGACCAGTGCGTACTACCGCGTACATGTGTGAAGGGCCAAACCGAGAAAACGACGTACGCGATGTATGCAGCAAACGGAACTACCATAAGCACGTATGGTATCAGAACTCTCCGGCTTGACTTTGGACTTCGACGAGAGTGGAAATTCGTCATCGTCGACGTGGCGAAACCCATCATCGGACCGGATCTCCTAACCCACTACGGGCTGCTCGTCGACCTCCGATGCCGCCGACTATTGGACACCACAACATCGCTTTTCTCAACGGGAAAGATTGCCACCGGAGAACCGGATTCAGTGAGGACCATCGTGGACGACTCGCCGTACCACCAGCTCCTCGCCAACTACCCGAATCTCACGAGACCGACAGCGATCCCGCGCAAGGTAAAGCACGATGTCGTCCATCATATTAACACGACGCCAGTTCATTGTAAACCGCGCAGACTGGCTTCGGATATGTAGATCGCGCATATCGAATTTAGCGAGTTAATGAGCCAGGGACACCCGCCCGTCTAAGAACCAGTGGGCTTCCGCCCTACACATGGTTCCCAAAAAGGACCACGGATGGCGACCCTGCGGCGATTATCGCGCGTTAAATTCACGAACGGCACCCGATCGATATCCGATATCGCATATCGAAGATTTTTCGCAAATGCTCTCCGGGAAGAAATTATTCTCGACTATCGACCTGGTGCGCGCTTACCATCAGATTCCAGTCCATCCTGTGGACATATCGAAAACAGCAATTACGACACCCTTCGGTTTGTACGAATACACCGTGATGCCACTTGGATTGAGCAATGCTGCGCAAACCTTTCGGTTCATCGACACCGTCTTGAGGGGGCTCGATTTTTGTTACGCGTACTTAGACGACATTCTAGTCGCCTCCCGAAACGAGAAAGAACATCGCAAACACCTGGAACAGCTGTTTGCACGTCTAGATCAATATGGCATGGTCGTCAATCCAACGAAGTGTGTATTCGCGCAAACCGAGATAAAGTTTCTCGGTTACACGGTAGACGAAAATGGAACGAAACCGCTCGCCGAAAAAGTCAAAGCGATTTTAGATTTTCCTAATACCGTAAAACAACTTCGTAGGTTCTTGGGTATGATGAACTTCTACCGAAGATTCATACTCAAGGCCGCGAAACTGCAAGCTCCGCTGAACCAGCTTTTAAAGTGTCGGAAATTAAAAGGTAATTCTCCGATCCAATGGTTCGCTGAAGCGGAGACCGCATTTCAAGCGCTGAAAGATGCGCTATCGAACGCCGCGTTGTTAGCACATCCATCGAATCGTGCGAATCTCGCGATTATGGTGGATGCGTCCGATCTCGCGCTGGGAGCAACTCTTCAGCAACGAGAGGAAGGTGCGTGTCGACCACTAGCCTTCTTCACACAGCCTTTGTCGTCGGCACAGCGCAAGTATAGCGCCTACAACAGGGAGTTGCTCGCCGTTTATTCCGCGATTAAACAATTTCGGCACGCGGTGGAAGGACGATCGTTTGCTGTGTATACTGACCATAAACCGTTAGTATATCCATTCAGACAAAAACAAGAAAAAAGTACGCCACGACAGTTTCGATATCTCGATTTCATTAGTCAATTCACGACCGATATCAGACACGTCAGCAGAAAGGACAACGAAGTGGCAGACGCACTTTCACGCGTAGAAGCGGTGACCGCGGCACTAGACTACGAACGTCTAGCCCAGTCATAATATTCCGACGAGGAATTGAAGCAATTCCTCACCGCCTCTGGCACTTCGTTGCAGTTAAGAAAGATCAAATCCATAGGCTGCGATACTACTGTGTACTGCGATATATCGACCGACGCATGCAGGCCGTTTGTAACACCTGCATATCGCAGAGAGGCATTCAGTGCATGGTATAGCGCATCCAGGTATCAAGACGACAGTCAGACTGATTAAACAATGTGTCGTCTGGCCGTCGATCGACCGCGATTGTAGGAAATGGGCACGAAGCTGTGTACAATATCAACGAGCCAAAGTTAGCAGGCACGTAGTTAGTCCCACAGCGAACTTTTTGCCGCCGTCCACTAGCTTCGAGCATGTGCATATCGACCCAGTGGGCCCGCTACCGAGTTCGGAGGGAAAGAGATACTGCCTCACTTGTGTAGACAGGTACACGCGCTGGCCCGAAACCTTCCCGATCGCTAATATCGAAGCAGAAACAGTCGCGAAAGCGAGGGTTGGATATCCCGATTCGGCACTCCTGCCTGCGTCACCACCGGCCAAGGCAGACAGTTTGAATCGAGATTATTCAATTAGCTCAGCGCAATGCTCGGAGACACAACATTTGCGAACGACGGCATACCATCCAGCCGCGAACGGCATGGTGGAACGATTCCATCGTCAGTTAAAAGCCTCAATCAAGTGTCACGCCAACGATCGTTGGACAGAAGTCCTCCTTAGCATAAGAGCAGCGCATCGCGAGGATCTGCATGCATCCTCCGCGGAATTAGTTTACGGTCAGACGATACGTCTACCGGCCGATTTCTTCGCGGAGAGAAAACCGAATGATAGGAAAACCTTCCAGTTTAAAGACTTAAACACGGCGTCTCATGTGTTTATAAGAGTCGAGCAGGTGAAAACCCCGCTGCAAAACCTGTATGAAGGCCCGTTCCCGGTTGTCTCCCGTAACACAAAAACGTATGTAGTCAGGGTAAGAGGAAAAGACACGCGTCTATCGACCGTCTCAAACCTGCCTACATACTAGACAGTAATACGACAGACGACAACAATAATGACGAGTACACGCAAGAAGTACGACCGCGCATAATGCGTGAACCCGCGATCCGGAATACACAGATACAAGTGTATACGCGAACGGGCCGTAAAGTCAAATTCCCAGACCGCCTTCAGGTACGCTAGTGAACACGATGTAAATTTTTTTGTAAATAATTGTATATAGTAGTATTAAGTTTAGAATAGTAGCACTGGCAAGAGGGTGATGTAGCGGCTAGCAGATGTCGGAGAAAAGACGTTTTCTCAGACAGAAAAGTTAGAAGAATTTACGACTCACGTGGCGCCGACGCTATTGAATTGAAAAGGATAAAATCAGTTTTGCAATGCGTAAGACCAGATGTCCGCACTTATAGTTTTAGAAATACAGCCTCAATAGCATTTCTGCGAAGCGTCGTACTCTTGCATTCCTAAGGGCCACCCAGATCAACATCTGGAAAACACTTAGAGAAAGTGAGTGAGGCCTAGAGGAAACCTTGCTACACCGCCACAATTCGGGGAAATTGGTCCTGGCGAAATTGCAGCCCCACTCTCAGAGAAAATGCGTCAAGAACGCAAGGAGTAGGCGGCGCAATTTCGTGACAACCTAATTGGTCAAAACATAAAATTAAAAGTATATATTAATTTATTTTATTTATTTATTTAAAGCTTTGTTATAACAAGATAAAAAATAAAGCCTTATCCTAGCGCACTCATATATAATAATTATTTTTTGTAGGTTGTTCAAAAAGTATAGGTAATAAAGTCTGAAAATTAAGAACTTAACGATGACTAAAGAAAAATAACACGATCCAAACGTGAAACAGAAAATAGCACTTTAATATTTTTTTAATGTGTGGTATCGTTCAAAGCATTCCAGTTTATGCAGTAGCACATTATAGTATTCGCAAACATATCGCGCAGTTTTTTTGTTAGCAGAGCATACTCTACATCTTCGGTGAGGATATGATTTTTTTCCACTCGTAACAACTTGTGTTTTTTAAAATCTTGAGATAGTCTTCCTGATGGGTCATATTTTGGTGCTCGTCTTATTCTTTCTATTATGTTCGAAGATCCCGCCTCTTCGGTGTCTAAATTTTGAATTTCGTGTGTTTCTATCAATGCTATTGCAACTTTACGTAAAAATTTTTTATATGTCATTTTATTACTATTTATTTTTCTATGTACTAGAAATGAATTAAAAAGAGCAGCATTCAAAAAACAAAGCACTGCTTTTTTTGTCCATTTGGTGCTTTTTCGAAGAGTATTATAATAAGACATATATTGATCTGTACGGTCAAATCCTTTCATATATTTGTTGTATTCCACAAGAGATTTGGGTTTTATTTTCTCTCCTGACCAATGTGAAACCTTTACCATTTCTGCCGAATGAATAGTTGAAATGGTTCTTACTGTTCGGTTTCTCTTCGCTAGCCAAAGTTGTAAAAGAATTTGTTCTTTTCTCGCAAATTTTGTTTGATGTTTTCTCAATGTTATATTTTTTAAACTCTGCGGAAATCCTCTATTTGCCCTAATTGTTCTGCAAATTCTTGTGTTTTTCTGAAGCAGTAATTCGGCTGTATCTACGCTATTGTAATAATTGTCCATGTAAATATGATGATGAAATCCCACATAAGGATCTAAGATCGATAAAACTGTATCTTGTAACGTTGCTTGCTGCGCTTGAATATACTTTAAAATTACAAATGTATCCTGATGTTACTTCGCAGAGCATTCGCACCAGAATTCCATATTTTACTAGTTTTGCGGGATTATAGGTGCGGAAAGATAATCTACCTCGCCAAGGTGTTATACCTTCATCCAGGGACAATTCTTGTTTTGGTGTTTATACAGTTTGGAATTTGTTTTGTACATAATTAAAAACTTTTCTAATTTTGTTCGACTTGTCAATCAATAAATCATTATTACAAAAATGCCACATTCTCCATATTTGGATAAATCTATTGCGGCTCATTGTTTTTGTGAAGATTGGGGTTTCTATATATGAAAGAGTGGACCAGTAATCATATATATCATCTTTACGTACTTGTCCCATCAGGATAATTAAACCTAGAAACTTTTTCATTTCTCCCACTGTGGCATCAACTCATTGCACTGCTCTACATTCTTTATGTTTGTTTATAACTTGAGAGCGATATCTATTTGTTTCTATTACTAATAATTCAAATAAATCATCGCCAAGAAACAATTGTACTATTTCCCATACGTTTTCCTGATTTCGAGGTATCGTATTCACGTCTGAAGTTTGATCATATATGCTTCTAGCTGAAATGTCATATCATTCTCGTACCAATCATCGACAGTATTGACGGTAATGTCTTCATCCTTGTCAGAGAGGGAAACTAACATCATCTTCCGATTCGCTAAAAAGTATTCCACGATTACTTTGACGTGTGGGAACAACGATACTATCATTGTCGTTAAGTTCATCATCACTTATTTGCATATCGTTGTCTTCGGAACAGTCTGATAGTGCGTCATGAACAACTCATCATTTAAATTTTCATTGTTGCTTTTAGACATTTTTGACAATATTTTTTTTAACATTATTTTTTTACCAATTATATATTGTGCTTTATAAAAACAGTTCGTAAGTAATTGTGAACAATTTCAGATCAAGTAACTAATAATAACAGAAAAAGAGAAACGCTTCGCTGAAGTCAAAGTGGGAGATCTCCCCGATCGGTCGTGCACCGACTTA